ATGTAGAAAAATAATTAATAAGTTCTTTAACACAAGTGAGGAAGAAATTGACACAGGTACACAATCATGAGAAACATTTCAAACTATCAAAGAGCAGTTATATTATATTTGCAACCTATTTACTGTTTTGATACATTCAGTGATTTAGGCACTGATTCAAGTGTTTGTGTAAACTGTCGTACTTCTTTTGTACCTCAACAAGGCAAGAAACAGCAGATCATTCTGCAACCTGCACACAATTTATTGTTGCTTTATTTAAAAAAAAAAAAAAACCTTTATATTTTTACCTGCCCTCTCAGATTCCTATTTACACATCAAGTAAATCAACACATACTTGGATTAGATTTAAAAAAGCCACACATAAAACTACAAATGGGCAATTGTTCATAACTCATGAAACTTTTAAAATCAACCACCATTATTTTTCAAGTGAATCATTTTTAAGATTTCTTAACTATTACTGCACCAATGTTTGCTATAGCAATACAACTATCCAGAGCCAGACCAATGGCACTTGTTTTGATGGTACATACATCAACTATTGAATTATTCCCTAGCAGAGGGGGTACCATTGAGGGGGTCTGGACGGTAATATCATGCATGCCAGCCCAGTGTTTCATATTGTCTAAGGTAACAAGAGTCCAGGATCCATCAAAATGTTTTACTTGCTGGGAGGTAACAAGTCCACAGTTACAAGAGGAAGTGTCAACAACAGTACTGTTTGAATCTGACCCCTTCCAGGCATGGTGATAGATAGAATCAACAGCTAATTTTCCACTTCCGCAGTTTAATCCTGCAGCCTGAAGAAGTCCCTCCTGAAGCCATACCATAACAGACATTAGTTGAGCTGACGAACACACCAGTTTCTTGCAGAGAGCTTCTCTTTCAGATTGGATCTGGAAAAGTATAAAATAAGAATCACCAAAAAAAAAAACAGGGAATATTTAGTTAAAATGCTCAAATGAGTGTAAGAAACAAAGCATACCCTTTCCCATAGTGCTGTGCAAAGGTAAATTTCAGAACAGCCAGCACCAGGACACACTGCTACATCCTGGAAGACTTGACCCAGTGCTATTAAGACCTGATGAGCAACAACCTATAAAAAAATAAGGCTTATAAGATTTATAAAAATATTTCAAGATAGGTGTAAACCTTGCATTAAGAACTAGCAAACCTTCAAATCAGCACCAGCCCCTATTGCTCTTGTGGTAAGCTGAAGGGAGCAAATATTACAGTCAAAACATCCTTCCAATCGAACATCATTGTTGTTGAACTCTTCCAAATGTTGTACGCTTGCCAGACAACCCTTGAGCTGAGGTAGACACTCAAGGAGTGGTATCTCCAGACTCGAAATTGGAATGGCTCCTGAAAGTAATCAAGAAAATTATGTCCAAACCGTTTAATAAAACTTGAAATATCTTCATAAGGCTATGTAATTTATTTTCATTAATTTACCAGATGTCTTCTCGAGAGCTTCCGCCATGCGCTTACCAAGTCGTTGTACAACCAGAATACCTTTACGTCTCAGTTGAAGTAAGAGCTTCGGATGAACAACTTTCTGACATGCTATTACATCTATTCCCATAGAAATAGCTTTTTCAATGAACATTTGAGCAAGTTCAAACTGGACTTTGCCTTTATTAGCAAGAACAACATTTGGCACATCCTGTCAGGTAAGTAAACAAAAAGTACCTATATTATTTTTTCGGAAATATGAACTTTGTAACATATTTGTATGCAATGTCAAATTAACTTACAATTTCCTTGCAATCAATCTGGTCTGTAAGCATGACCGAAAATAGCAGAATTGAAACATTATGCCACACCTTACCGTTAAGCACAACATATTCTTCTTCTGTGCACTTATACAGAATACCATTAAAAATACATTGTTTGTCACTATTTTCCAGTACATTAATAAACTGTAAAAAAATGGAAAATACTTTTAAATCTATGGGAATAAGTTACACTACCTACATCATGTTTAGATGGGCAGCTTACCACTTTTCCAGGAGATGCCTCTGACTGTAGAAAGGCCTGCACTAATAGAGATGCTTGCTTTTGGGAATGAATCAAAGAATCTGAGTTTTCTTCCCTATGTAGACCACACTTTGATAATAAAATAGACTGGGCCACTAACATAAATGGATGTACAGAATCCAAATTTACTTCTATGCGAAGTGCAGAATGAAGAATTTCATTCTGCATAAAGGTAGCAAATTCCTTGAGAATAGAGTTTACTGTAGGCTGGGGAAGGGAACTCTCAAGGATGCGTGATAAAAGCTTTGTGAGTAGTATCCCACAGTAGAATCCACCATTATAGTACCTATAGCCGAAGTAATAAGTTTTATTATTAAATCTAAGGCCAACAAACATAATAGACATTCACACATAACAACAAGCAAATTACAAACACTAACTTTTTATTCTGGGATCCAATACATTGTTGAATGAACTGGAGAATGGGATTATCAAATGAAATGTTGGGAACAATCCTACTGGATGAAGAAGTTAGAACCAATGAATCAACTGGTGACATTAATAGACATAGACATCCTTTAGGTCCTACTGATGTAGCAAATAGTTTGCACAAATCATCAAGGGCTGGTTTCAATTTAGAGCTAGAGACGAGAATGAACTCCATACTTAAGATAACCTGCAGATATAGAACAATATATTAATTAAAAGCTATAGTTGTAACAGGATAAAAACTTCATCAAGATCTAAACAAATAAACATTACCTCAACTAAAACTACAAAAGTTATCTCCAATCGCAATTCAACATTCTACTTATCATCTTTGTTTTTGGTTTCTCCAACAAACACCTAGAAAGATAAAACATTTCATTAAACAATCGAAGAAATGGCATAACGTAGGACCAAAAAAAAATTGTTGAAATTGTTAACAGTAATATTAATTCACCTTCTTGAATTTATCTAAGGTCAACGTAGAAGGCTGTTCACCACCATTGACTACAGGACTATATTGCAACTTTTGCCATCCATAATGCAGAAGGGCTAAATAACCTCCAAACATCAAGAAAGTAGCCGTCGATGACGATAAAAACCTGTAAGATGATACGGTAGTTAAAGAAGACACTTGGTGTAATATAGAAAAGAAATTGCAATATTTTTTGGTGAATGTTTTCGGACAGTCAATAAGTTAATTTAATGATTAAATCTTCATAAAATTACCTTCTTACAGCTGACTGCGACATTACGACGGTACGGTGTTGTCGTCTGCTGGTGAAGCACACCACAAACACAAAGGTCAACAATATTTAAAATACTTCAAACGTCTCTTTGAGAGATGCCTTCACTTACAAGTTTATTTTTAAAAAAGATATTCACTCAAAATCCGCTAAATGTGTTCTTTTTAAACATCTGGTCCCCCAAAATAAGAAAATGTTGAATGCATGTTCTTGAATGGTTGAATGTTGGTTGAATGATGTGTTGCACAGTTGTACCCACGGGAGAGTTTGAGTTTGTTTGTTTGGTTGTAAAGAAGGCAGGTGCTGCCATCTGTCGGATGAGTTCAGTAAAATTGTTTGTTTTCCACTTCCACAACACAAGGCAGCGCATGATTTTCGCAGTCACTGGCGGCGCTACCGTTCTTCTAAAGTACTCACTTTGTTAAGGCTTTCAACGGCTTTAAAGCCCATTGTAATTCGTCAAATATTGTTTAGATGATCTTGTAAAAATACCAGCCGAAGAATGGCCCACCACTATGTCGTTACGGCACACAAGCCAACAGCAGTCACTGCATGTGTGACCGGTAAGTACCGATTTTCCTCGCGCATTCTGCTGGGTTCGGAATACTGTCGAATTAATATTGAAGAAAATTGATTTATAAATCCTTCTTCTACTCTCAGAGAATGAACATACTGATTGTGTCAATGCTCTTAGTTCTATTCCTGAGGGATCTTTCTTGATTTTTTTCTACCGGCGTTTTCTAACCCCACCCAGAAACCTACATTATCTTCTTTTTATTTTTTGTGAAAAGAGTGACTTATGAGTTGGCCTGTCCTACGAGGAATAGAGGCTCATGTTGTGTGATAATATCATCCATATTTATTATGCTATCATGCTATGAACTTACTCTAAACTTGATGTCTTTTACTGTTTTGCTCCTACACACTTGGTGCGCATTTGCTGCTATTTGATTTTCATTTTTGTTCTTCCCCTTCTCTAGGAAACTTTACATCACCTGATGACTTAAATCTGATTCTTGCTAAAAACACAAGATTAGAAATATATCTTGTGACACCAGAAGGCTTGCGGCCTTTGAAAGAAGTTGGTCTCTATGGAAAAGTGGCTGTAATGAAATTTTTCAGACCACCTGTAAGTCTCATATACTAGTTTAATATAATGTATTCTTCTTCAGAAATTTGTACAAATGCTCTATCTGGTTCCTTTTCAGCATGAAAAAAAAGATTTACTATTCATTGTCACTAAACGATACAATGCAATGATTCTGGAGTGTCATGGAGACATTGAAAACCTAGAAATTATAACAAAAGCTCATGGTAATGTAGCTGACCGCATCGGCAAGCCCTCAGAAACTGGAATCATAGCAGTCATTGACCCAGAAGCCCGTGTTATTGGTCTGAGACTCTATGATGGTCTGTTGAAGATTATTCCTCTAGACCGGGATAATAGTGAATTGAAAGCATCTTCAATTAGAATGGAAGAGCTAAGTGTACAAGATTTGGCTTTTCTTCATGGCTGCCAAAACCCCACTATCATTCTAATTCACCAAGATCTTCATGGTAGACATATTAAAACCCATGAAATTTCATTAAGGGATAAGGAATTTGTAAAGGTAATTTAAAAAATTACGCTCTCAATGAAGAAGTGAAGAGGTCTACTTCTTCTTGTATAGCATTTAAAATATTTGCAATTTAATATCTTTGTCATTTTTTTTTTCTAGATTCCATGGAAGCAAGACAATGTTGAAACAGAAGCAGCCATGGTTATTCCAGTTCCTGAGCCTCTGGGTGGTGCTATAATTATAGGGCAAGAATTAATTCTCTATCACAATGGTAATACTTCCGTTGCTGTTGCACCTCCAATCATCAAGGTGACTAAAACTAGTTATCCGTTCACTGCTCTTTCTTCCTCTTGTTACCCGCCTGAGTCACCTGTTATTTTATCATTAATTTACAGCAAAGTACAATTGTTTGTTATGCTCAAGTGGATTCTAATGGATCCAGATACTTACTGGGTGATATGGCTGGAAGACTGTTTATGCTGCTACTTGAAAAAGAAGAGAAAATGGATGGAACTTTTACTGTAAAAGACCCCAAGGTTGAGCTTCTAGGTGAAATCAGTATTCCCGAGGCAATCACATACCTGGATAATGGGGTGCTTTTTATTGGATCTCGTATTGGGGATTCTCAACTTATTAAACTTAACAAAACTCCGGATGAAAATGGTTCTTATGTTAGTGTGATGGAAACATTCACAAACCTAGCACCCATTGTTGATATGGTTGTTGTTGACCTGGAAAGGCAAGGTCAAGGTCAGCTTGTTACTTGTTCAGGTACGGTAATGACAGCTTAAAATTAAAACTTTGGTTTTCAATAATTTTAGTTCTGAAATATGTATTGCTCTATCTGTAGGCTCATTCAAGGAGGGATCTTTGAGAATCATCAGAAATGGAATTGGCATCCAAGAACATGCATCTATTGATTTACCCGGAATTAAAGGCATGTGGGCATTAAGAACAAACTCCAACAGCCGCTTTGACAATACCCTAATTTTGTCGTTTGTGGGGCAAACTCGGTAAAAAAATGGTTCATTTACTTTTTCCCTATTAATCAACATTTTATTTTCAAAATTATATTGAATATTTTTGTAACTATTTGTAGGGTTTTAACTTTAACTGGAGAAGAAGTGGAAGAAACTGAAATTCCCGGATTCTTGTCTGATCAGCAATCATTTTACTGTGGAAATGTTGATCATGACCAAATAATCCAGGTGACACCATCTTCAGCACGTTTGCTTTCCATGTCAACCAAACAGCTTGTCAGCGAGTGGAAGCAGCCTTCAGAAAAGAGTATTAGTGTTGTGGCATGCAATCCATCTCAAGTTATTTGTGCAACCGGAAGTGACTTGTACTACCTTGAAATACTTGAAGGAGAACTAGTTCAAAAAGGGTATGTTGAATTGATTGAAATTCACTGTGCTGTTTTCTTTAAATGTACTATACAAAATGACTTCTCAATTGGTCTAGGCATGTTACATTAGAGCATGAAGTGGCTTGTTTGGATATAACTCCACTGCAGGAAGGTGCAACATCGGCACAATTAGTGGCAGTGGGTTTGTGGACTGACATTACAGCTCGCATTCTCCGTTTGCCAAATTTAGAGGAAGTTAACCGTGAAAGTCTAGGTGGAGGTGAGCAAAACCTCATTAAAACAAATATTTTTTGAAGTAAAATTTCCTCTTACATAATCAAAAGACTTTTTTCCGTCTTAATCAATTTCTCTAGAAATCATACCAAGATCAATTCTCATGACGTGCTTTGAGGGCAGCAACTATTTGCTGTGTGCGTTGGGTGATGGCGCTATGTTCTACTTTTCTCTTAGTAAGACTGGGATATTGACTGAGAAAAAGAAGGTTGGTTTACTTTTCAAGGATGCCTATATTGATGCATAACTGATGATAATGATGATCACATTGCTAATGATACATCTACTTTCTTTTTGCCCTGTTTTCAGGTGACTCTTGGTACCCAACCAACTGTGCTTCGAACCTTCCGCTCACTCTCTACAACAAATGTTTTTGCTTGCTCTGATAGACCAACTGTAATTTATTCTTCCAATCATAAATTGGTTTTTTCTAATGTTAATCTTAAGGAGGTGAATCATATGTGCTCTCTCAATGCTGAATCCTACCCAGACAGGTAATTATATGATTATTTTTTTTCTGTGATCAGATATTTAGTGGGCTTCAGTTATTCATTATTCATTCTTATTTTCATCTTGAAATTGCTTTTTTTAACAGCTTGGCTCTGGCAACAGACAGCACAGTTACCATCGGAACTATTGATGAAATTCAGAAACTTCATATTCGATCTGTGCCTTTGGGTGAATCTCCCCGGAGAATAGCATATCAAGAAAGCTCACAAGTAATACTTCAGTTAACTTTGTATTTATTGACTTTATCCATATGCATTATTCACTAAACTGTTTCATATTTTCCAATAGACTTTTGGTGTGATTTCAATGAGGATGGATGTTCAAGACAGTGGTGGAGTGCAGCCAGCTCGGCCAAGTGCTTCCACTCAAACTCAGAGCACTTCTGTTAGCTCATCGCTTTTTAAAACTGCTTCAGTTGGTGCTGTTAACTTATCAACAGACCATGGTCAAGAAGTTGAGATACACAATCTTTTGATTATTGATCAACATACGTTTGAGGGTATGTTACATCTGATTCCTTTAATGTTTCACAGGGTGACACTGAATGTCACTTGACATATTTTACTATTAGATTTTGTATTAAGAGGCTCTTTTTTTACAGTCCTTCATGCTCACCAGTTTATGCAAACAGAATATGCACTTTCTTTACTGTCCTGCAAGTTGGGAGATGATCCAACAACTTACTATATTGTTGGAACAGCCTATATAAATCCAGAAGAAAGTGAACCAAAGTTTGGTAGGATTCTTATATTCCAGTACCAAGACAACAAGTTGACTCAGGTTCATGAGAAAGATATAAAAGGAGCTTGCTTTTCATTAGTTGAGTTTAATGGGAAGTTACTTACAAGCATCAATAGCACTGTGAGTATCAACCCTTTAAATTTGAAAATTCGAGTACTATACCCAGAAAACCTTTTTACTAATACTGTTTTCATACCCTAAACCAAGGTTCGTTTGTTTGAATGGACAACAGAGAAAGAGCTTAGATTGGAATGTACTCATTTCAACAATATTATTGCTTTGTATCTTAAAACCAAAGGTGACTTTCTTCTAGTAGGTGATCTCATGCGATCAATGACACTTCTACAGTATAAAACAATGGAAGGCAGCTTTGAAGAGGTTGGTTACAATTTGTTCTAAATTTTACCTACAGTTCCTTTTTTTTTTTAAGTCAAAAATGACAAGTGCATATTTTATTTGGTTTATAGATTGCAAGAGATTACAACCCAAATTGGATGACCGCAATTGAGATACTGGATGATGACACATTTTTGGGTGCAGAAAACTTTGCAAACTTATTTGTGTGCCAGAAAGACAGGTAATAAATTGTGGCTCCACAGCAAACACCTAAATATAAACAATTACATTGTTTGTAATTTTCTAGTTTTGTTTTTCTTATGTACTTCTTAGTGCTGCTACCACTGATGAAGAGCGACAGCAAATGCAAGCTGTTGGCCAATTTCACTTGGGAGACATGGTCAATGTTTTCAGACATGGCTCACTGGTCATGCAGCACGTTGGTGAAACGTCAACTCCAACTCAAGGTTGCGTGCTTTTTGGCACAGTCAGTGGAGCTATAGGTTTGTTTTATTTGATTAATGGTCTTGTTAAAATGTAATATGCAATCAACTAAACACTTATCATATGTATTTTATCTGTTAAAGGCTTAGTAACACAAATTCCTGCTGATTTTTATGAATTTCTCCACGAAGTTGAAGAAAGGCTCTCCCAAGTCATTAAATCCGTGGGTAAAATTGAGCATAACTTTTGGCGCAGCTTCAACACAGAAATTAAAACTGAACCTTGTGAAGGTTTCATTGATGGAGACTTGGTTGAGAGTTTCCTTGATTTAACTCAAGATAAAATGAAGGAGGTGGTCACTGGAGTTCAGGTATGATCTACTATGTGCTTCTTAACAGTCTTTTCAAGTTTCCTCTTTCTTCGTCCTCAACTAATTTGAGATGTATTTAACCCCTAGATTGACAATGGATCTGGAATGAAGCAAGATGCAACTGTGGAAGACTTGGTCAAAACTGTTGAAGATTTAACAAGGATACACTAGTTGTGGTGATGTAGACATTTTGAATGATTTCTTGGAGTTCTTTCTGCTTCTGAGACCTGTAATGAAATCCTGGAATCCTTAAACTTTAATTAATTTGTAAATATGAAAGTCTTTGCCCTGTAAGTTTTAATTATAGACTACACAAGAATTGGTTGCTGAAAGGAATCTTTGAAATCATGTGTACTATTTTATAGTTTCTAATTTAAATACACTCAAGTGTATTTTGATACTTCTCCCCTCCCCTCTCCCCTCTATTTGAGATCCTTTCTTTATTGTACCTTATTGTGAGGCTTTGAACAATTTGCCCTGTTTTGCCCTCTTTATTATGCCCTCTGCAGTTGTTTTAAAATATTTCTGTTGTTGGTTTTACTATCTTAGGGATGTACAGTGTATACTTGAAGTTGGTGCTGTGCCTGCTGTAATAGTGTCTCATCTTGCATTCAATTAACAGTTTTAGTTTACTAGTCTAGCCGTAAAAGGAAAGGAAAGGAGAACCTGGGCCTTCAAAATAAACATACAACTGCTGAAACATGAGCCTTTTACATTCTATGTTGAATGAAAGGCAAAATGAAATGGTCATGGTAATAATAAAATCATGTGCTCTTTCCAACTTAGTATATTCTTAACATTTTTTTTTTTTTAGTTGGACCCTTTACAGTGCCCAGTTTATTTTAAAAGCATTGTGTACATGTATACTTTAGTTAGCCAACTTTTTAACATTTATAGGGGGCTTTATTCCTGCAAGCCAGTCTTTAATGGCTGGCAATCCTTCACCAGTGATAGCACTTGCCTCTAATACAGTTACAGGTTGTGATATTTCTCTCTGCAGTCTTGCAAATTGTAACATGAGCAAAGCTTCATTTCTCATTTGGCGATATGAGACATCCATTTTGCTAAGAACAAGTAGCACCTGAAGATGTTAAGCAAAAATTTGAAATACATACAAACACTTAACTTGATGAATTCGTTCTAACCCATGCAAGAGGCACCTTAGCATTTTTTAGCTGTGGGTCTGCAAGCACAGTGTAGAGTAGCACTCCGGCAGCTGCAATTTGACAAAGGTTGCTCGCATCCACAACATAAATTATCTTAGTAATATTTCGGTAGTACTGTGTCCACAAAGGAGCCATAGTTCCTCCAACTTCGCGGACCACAATTTCCTACAATATAAACATGATTTGACTGTCCTCAGTAGTTTTTAGTTACCTTGTTAATGTCATAGTTTTACTAGTTCAACCTTCTCATTTGGTAACTGAAGAGTAGTAATGTTGGTCCCCACAGTAGGAACTGATGTTGATGTTATGTCAATTTCCTCATTCCCTTTTAGCTTTTTAAGTAACAGTGTCTTACCAGAACCAATGGGTCCAAGACAAACACAGCTTGGTAAAATTGGGGGTAAATTCGCCATACTATGTTTTTTTTTTATAAAACAACGCAATAATGAAAGTGAGGGTATATTAAACGCATAGGTTCAAATTAAGGAGTTAGTTGTTGCCATGGAAACACCAAACAAAACAATGGCGCCTAGCTCATCGTCGATGCTGGCGGCGGGGAATTTCGAATGTCGGGAGTAAAAGTACTGTTTCTGGGGCTGTTGCTTTGAAACTATTCTAGTACATGCACTGCAGGTCACATTACGTTTCCTGGTAAATGATTGTGGCGTGAAAGTTATGTTATCCTTCTCCTTTGTTGCATCATTGTAAAAAATGATCCATTTGCCGCACTTAATGTGCCAATTATATTGTACTGATAGATGCAGCCGCAACCCTTAAAAGTTGATTAACTTTCCATTTGCTAATTCATTGTGCTCTATCTACATGTATTTATTATATTTGTCTTTTTACACTTCTTTGAAAAATCTTTATTTTTATGAGTTATACTACAATTTCAATAAAATAATACGAATTCATGAGTCATTTGGAATGTAACCATAACTAAACGCTTAGAAGAGTTCTTGATGGTTGTTTTGATGAAAAACAATTTGAAAAATAATCAATTATTCTCTTTGGGGCACTGGTCAAGTTTTGTCTCAAAGTTTTGTTTTTACTACAAACATTTAAATAAATTCCCAATACTACAAGGAGTCCGGACCATAAATACCTGAAAAAGAGTTGTATTATATACTTTTACTCTCATATTAAGATACTAGCTTAGTTCAGCAAAAAAACTTACTGAAATGTGAATGGTTTGGCAAAAAATAAAAAAGATATCACAATTGAAATAGCTTTACGACATGTTGTGACTGTTGCTGCAGCCAATGCACCACTTGTTCTAACAAGTATTAAAACCACCTGAATACCAAGGTACCCAGTGAGTGCAAATAGTAAACAAAATCCATATGTAAATGGAGGATTCTGTAATGAAAAACATATTCTAATTAACGGATGGACGGTCATTTAATTTAAGAGTTATTACTTATCTGTTGATAAACCAACAAACCTGTGAGCACGTCCTAACGGATTGAGTCAAGTTTCCACTAAAAAGTAGAATCACAAGAAGGTACACAAAGCCAATGCTGTAAGAGTACAGAACAACTTCTGCATTACTGGCTTTATGAAGTTTCATTGATTTTTCCTGGACGTTTCCAATCGCTGCATCACACAGTAAGGCACATGATATCATCAAAACTCCTGCAAAAAGAACGAAATTTATGTTCTCTGGCTTTTATATGCAACTGATGATTGATGACAGCACTCACTGGCTAATAACTCACCCATTGAACTAAATACAGGAGATATTTGGCTATCAGCTAATGTGAAGAGAGTAAGTCCAAGGCACATACAAAAAGCAGCTAAAAAATCAAGTGTACCATACACTTTTTTTTGGATTAAAATTCCTCCAATCATCACGGGAATTAGTTTACAGCATTTAAAGATGACCTAAATCACATGATAAATGGTGAGAAGAATAGGCAGTGTAGCTTGGAACAATTGCTCCAATACCACCTGATTAAGAATTAATTAATATAAGACACGTCACCTGAGTTGGGTAGTTAAGGTACTGCAGAGATGAATTGGAAAAGCCCATAGTTCCTAATGTAAGGAATGCAAGTATGAAATAAATTTTCAGAGGAATCCTGCAGGCAAAATAGACATACATTTTTAAAACCAAAAAGATAAATTGATGTGAATTTGAAAAGTTTAGGGTAGTTTTGTCAAAGACTAGCAAAATAATGCTCTTACTTCCTTCCCCTCAAGCCTCTCAGTTTCATTTCTATAATCCCAAAAATAGAATAATATCCAAACTGAATGAGGGTAAGATACCATCCACATGTTTTCAGGCTGTCTAATGTAAACAAAAGTTCCTGCAAAAGTTGAAATATTAAAGTGGAAACATTTTAATGATATAGACGCAATTATCTTAATTTGAGTAGAACAGTCTAGCAGTAGTCGGTGTAGTAGTCTTAAAGACTATGAAAATCCATTGAACATACCTGGAGGTAACCATAAAGTAAGTAAAATATGAAGATAGCAAGACAGCAAACGAAGAATTGATTAACAGAACTAAGATGGCTTATGTCAAACCACAAAATCTTAAGATCATCACTTTTATCAGGTCCATCAGATTTTAATTGTTTCCCCCCATCATATGGCTCCTTGTTAACAACAACTATTGTATTTGAAGACATAGTAAAAACCAATCTACTATAGAAATTGTCCTGGAACAGTAAATAGAAATTTTGTCAGACATAGCTGCGTTACTTAAACTAAATCATCAACAGCAACCCTTTTAACAAGCTGATTTTTTTTTTTAATATAGCAAAACCCTCTCTTACATATTCAAACACTTTTGGACATGGCCTTCTGAATTGTCCAACTTAAACTACTTATAGGAACCTGCTCCTCATATCCAATCACAAGAGGTATATTTATGCAAAGATCAGATCCGCAAATGCAGGACGGATTTTTTGCACAGAATATATTATAAACTGCAGTTCTTATAACAGGAAGGCGACCTAGATATTTATAACAGTAGGTGATTTGGAGTCTATGAGTATTCGCAGAGATCTCTAGATACATGTCGACATGTACTTTCTCAAAGTCGAAATCGTACTATGAGGGCGATAGAGAGCACAATACAAAAACGGCAGTCTGGAAAATCTGCAGCTCTTACTTATATCACAGATATATAAGTTCAGTAAAACAGTACCTTGAAATTTTGAAATAGAAGTCTGGGAGGGCTTTCTTTAGGAGTTTAGGACATAAATGTCAGTTGTAAATATGATGCCAGCCATATCATGATTTCTACATATGTAAGAACCTAAGTCATGTTCCAAACTAGGAGCATATTAATATGACATGCTCAAGTTTGTCCAGAGAATTGATTTTGTTTCATTCCTGAACAAATATTGCAGAGACAGGAACTAAAGTAAACATTCAACCATCAACCTTTAACGTCAGAGCCACATCGTCTGAACCATCGTCTGCTTCCGACACGAACCGCCTCGAGTCAGTAGTTCGCCTTTCCTGCGCCAGAGCGCGTGCCCGGTAAAAACCGCCTTGCCTTAAAGTGAGAGGCATGCCCGAAAATGTTGTCTGCATGATTTGTCTGCTTTAAATTAGTTTCATAACGTTAAGTTTTTAAGGGAAATTTGATTTAATGATGTTTAATACTAAATAGACGGATAGTTTACAATCTATTAAGCACGTCGTCAATTGTCCAAAATCATTTATGTGATGACATTGAAGATTGTTCGCGTCGGCTGCTTAACGAACCTCGTCTGGTACTCATCACAATGTACTGCCGTTCGATACTTTTGAGGTTTAACTTCAGAGAAATGACAGCTTGTAGTCGTCAAAAAATCCAAAATTTTAGTCCTCAAAATCCTGTTGTCTTGAAAAATCTTGCCTCATGTTTATGTACAAAATGTCGTGGAAGTTTTAATCGGAAGTTGGGTTATAATTTCAAGGTGATCCCCTACTCATTATTAGGAACTCAGCAGCCCATTTTTTCGACATACCGGTGTTCTGGTAGTTTATCAGATAAAAATAAATCGTTAGTCAAAAAGATAACTATTACTGTTCCTCCTAGTAGCTTTAAGAGCAGTTTGCCAGAGGCATTTCAGAATGACGGATCTCAGTTGCATACTGTTAAAGTACCTGTCCGACTACCAAGATTTAGCGAACGATTAGTAAATAAGTGTCCTCCTCACATACAGCCATATCTCAAGCTTATGCGAATGGACAGACCAATAGGTATGTTACTGCTGTTTTAAAATTACTACTCCATAGAAGGAATTACATTTTAGTATTCTTAATTGATGGTAACTTTTTAGGTACATGGTTATTGTACTGGCCATGCGGCTGGAGTATTGCCATGGGAGCACCAGCTGGGTGTTTCCCAAATTTGGAGATGTTATCTCTGTTTGCCATTGGAGCATTTGTGATGCGAGGAGCAGGATGCACAATTAATGATCTCTGGGACCGAGATATTGACAAGAAAGTACGTACCTTGGATTAAATTTCCATTTTTGTATCACCCCTTGTTTTTTGACCATGCAGAATTTCTGCAGAATTTGTCTTGCTTTATCTTCCTCTTTCAGTAAAGGTTTCTGTATTATGGTGATCCCCTAGGTAACTCGTACTCAGGACAGACCACTTGTGAATGGTTCAATTAGTCCATTTGATGCTGTGATTTTCCTCATGGGACAGTTGGGTGTAGGTTTACTTGTTCTTCTTCAGCTTAACACTTATTGTGTTGTCCTAGGAGCTTCATCGTTAGGTAGGATTCTCCACATAAAATTGATGGAAAACTGTACTTTTTGAAACCCCTTTTTTTTATCATCTCTTGATCTAATTTTCACTTTTATACACCTATAGGACTTGTGGTTGCATATCCATTGATGAAGAGAGTAACTTATTGGCCCCAGCTCATTTTAGGTCTTACCTTTAACTGGGGAGCTCTTCTAGGATGGGCAGCGCTCTACGGATCTGTTGATTTGTCAGTTTGCTTGCCACTTTATGTAGCAGGAACGTGCTGGACAATTTTCTATGACACTATTTATGCACACCAGGTACTTTCAAATTTTTTAACTACATTTGAAATAAAAAGGAACATTTTTAATAACCCTGATTTTTTTTCCCCTTACAGGATAAAGTAGATGATGTACTACTAGGCATAAAATCAACAGCTATAAAGTTTGGAGATGATACTAAACTTTGGCTCACTGGTTTTGGAGCCTCAATGATTGGGGGCCTAGTATTGTCTGGTGTGAGCTGTGGAATTGGATGGCCTTATTATGCTTCTGTTGCTGCAGTTGCCACTCATCTAACTACACAGGTGGGTTGACCGTCATGTATTTCATTTTTCTTGTTTATTTGATTGTTGTGGGACGTGGACTGGCTGCAATCATTATTTGTTAGGTGTGTTCCAGTTAGAAATCAGCCATTAAAAGCACTGGAAAAGCCCCTAGAACATATTCAACAAATGACAATTGCAGCAAGCCTTAACCACTCAATAGACTTCACTTGAACTAAATTGAAAATATCTACCACCAGGTTTACAAACTAGATATTAATAATCCTAGTGATTGCGCCAACAAATTCCTTTCCAATCACCAAGTTGGTTTTATCCTCTTCCTGGGAATTGTTCTTGGAATGATGAGCAAACCAGACAATACTGACAGAGAAGAAAAAGTTGTAGAGAAATCAAATCAAATAGAAACTAGTATTTAAATCCTCTGATGTTCAATTTTCCTCAAACATTATAAAATTCCTTGGAAAAAACTGAAAGAAAATAATCACAAAACCCAGTGACCTGCTTTCCAAAGTATTATGTTGTAAAACTTTGCTTCCAGTTTATAGCTGGACAGAAAGCCAACTATTGCATGTATGAAATGTAATATTCTGTCAAAGAATAAAACCTTAATTTGAGCACATGAAAAGTTTGATTGCTGAATGACCTAATTGAGCTCCACCCTACACTTTGCGAACAGGAGAAAATAATATGATTCACTAACTTAAGAACTTAGAGATATTTTATAGAACTCAAATGAACGATACATAAGAAAAGTAACTTAATTACAAGATGCCAAGAGATTTTTCAACAATAGCATGAGGCTGACCAGCCTCTTCCCTGAATTCAACAGGGTTCAGGAAGTCTTCAAAAGACATCTGGTCATCACGTCCCATCAAAACATCAGACATGAGGTTAGAGCTGGGCAGGAATGGTAGTCTGCCAATTTTCTGGGCTGCTTTCAGTTCCATTGCCATCTTGAGGGGCGCGTGCAGGCCTTGGGTATTTCGGAGCATATTCATTTCCATGCGTAGCTTGTTGTCATGGAACTAAAGGAAGGAACAGTTGTGAGAAAGACAGGTTCACAAAAGAAATTAGCGCAGGAAATTAATTGGATATTAAAATACTGACACTTTTCTCAGTTGCTTCAAGAGGGTGAGCTGGAACCACATGAACCTTGCGAGCTGCCAACCTGTCATGGATGGAGGAAGTGCAACCGTAATGTACGTTACTTCAAATAGAACACACACACGGAGATGGCGAGCTAAATGACTTACCCGGTTGTCATTAAATCTGGTACCCCATAAGACCCTTCGGATGTGTTGGTGCGAAGAGTGCTTGGCCCATTCTTGCTACCAAAACCGAAACTCTGGATGAAATGAAAATTTTAACAGCATGAGAGCAACCGAATGTATACAAAAAATATCACTTCTGGACCATACGTTGATGTGTCACAGGTAAAAAATACATTTGTATGATGACAAGCGAAAATAAGCAACACAGTGAGGTTAGCTTTCACAATAGAGTTGAGGGTACAAATTAAGAGACAAAGTCCATCAAACTAAATAGAAATTCGCTAGTTATTAATAGCACTTACCATCTTGATTTTGTTTTTAGTTCTAGATCTATTCAACCTTCTAGTGCAAGCTTAATCCACCGCAAAGATGACAGTCAAAACACGATCAACGCCGGAGCCGCTCGCCGTAAGAAGATGTATGAGGGTAGGGGAGGGGTAGGGGCAGGGGGGAAGAGGGGGAGGAGCTAGCAATGGCATTAACTTTTGAAAATAGTAGATGTAATGTAAAATAAAATGTTTCTGTAGTTTTGAAAAAGATTTGAGCTAGAATCTTTAATAAATTACAGTTTTTCTACTTAGCTTAAAATAAAAATACTGAATATGTGTACCCTGAACCGTTAATTCTGAAGTTAGTGTTTAGAATGTTGGTCTGACAGCAACTGCAAATAGGAGGAGCGCTCTTCCACATTATTGGCACTGGCTTCGTAAACTAGCGGTGTTTAGAATTTGTCTTCGGAATAACAGAAAAAATGATGCTGAAGTAGTCAAAAATAAGAGTTTTAAGTGAGTATACCGAGTCGTAGCGTAAAACATGCAAACCTGTGGCAAGAAGTGCTGATCTTCTGTCTCCTTTATTACTCCTCATTTTGCTTGCTTGTGAAATTTTAGGTTAGGGTACTCCTTGTTTATAAGTATAAAAAGTATTTACAAAAATGTACTACTTCATGTTGCTTTATGTCTTTATTTCTATTATTTGCTAAGCAATCTAAATTCCAATTCACTTTATGTTTCATTAATGTATTATGCATTAAATTAATAGGCATTATTGTCCTCTAGTGTCATGCAAACCTTGTCTTTTGTTGCTCCTAGAGAAAGTGATATGTTACAAACACTTTCTTTCTTTTTCCAGGAATATCTAGTTGTTTATTGACTGTCCAATCATGGACTTTCAAAATCGAGCCGGAGGTAAAACGGGTGGAGGAGGGGTGGCATCATGGACGGAAACAAACAGGGACAGGAGGGAACGGCTTCGACAGTTGGCCCTCGAAACCATTGATCTCCAGAAGGATCCCTATTTTATGAAAAATCATTTGGGTATGTGCATTTTTAAAATTTTATTTTTATTTTTACCCCTAGTACTTTTCGATAGTCGAGCAAAGGACTTTAATTTTAATCCTTTTTCTTTTTAGGTTCTTATGAATGTAAGTTGTGTCTAACGCTCCACAATAACGAAGGAAGTTATTTAGCACATACTCAGGGTAAAAAGCATCAAGCTAATCTTGCCCGTCGAGCTGCTAAAGAAGCTAAGGATGCACCACAGCAGGTACTTTTAATTCGCTGTTTAAGACTTTGGATGGAAATTAATATTTATTGTTCACTCAACTACTATTATCTTTTCTAGCCTGCCCCTGAGAAAGCTCGAGTAGATGTCAAAAAGTTTGTTAAGATTGGGCGCCCCGGTTACAGGGTTACAAAGCAAAGAGATCCTGAATCAGGTCAGCAGTCTCTTCTTTTCCAAGTTGATTATCCAGGTAAAAAATTAGATTTAGGGCATATTGTTCTTGTTCACTAATTATTTATTTTAATCATCCATCTCATGTGCAATTTTTTATCTTTGAATTTATCTGGCAATAGAAATTGCGGAAACTGTAGGACCTCGACACCGTTTTATGTCAGCATATGAACAGAAAGTTGAGCCACCAGACAGGAAATGGCAATATCTCTTATTTGCTGCTGAACCATATGAAACCATCTCTTTCAAGGTGAATTTTACAATTTTCTTAAGCCTCTTCACCTCTGGTACACTTCAATTTTCTCATCCCCTTGTATCTGTATGTTTCTAGGTTCCAAGCAGAGAAGTTGACAAAGAAAAATTCTGGACTCATTGGAACAGAGACACAAAGCAATTTTTCCTTCAATTTGCTTTCAAGCTAGAGAAGCCAGGAGTCCCTGGTCAGCCGATGCCAGGACCTCCAGGAATGATGCCCAACATGCCGCCCCACATGGCACACATGCTGCCCCCGCCACCCAGACCGTCTGGTCCTCCCCCGAACGTCCCACCCCCGCCCCCCATGTTCAACCCTGTCCCACCTCCACCTCCCAGTGGGATGCTCATTCCTCCTCCTCCGCCAGTTTAGTTGTACCACAATTTGTGAATGAAATAAAAGTACAGGTCTTGCATTCTATTACTTTGGAGTGACTAATTTAATTATCTATTTTAAAAAAACCTTCTCCCCTTTGAGTGAAGCCTTTGCAGGCTGCAAGAAAATGCAACTGTATTGCAGCAGTAGCACAAGCCAATGGTTGAGATGTAAAGCTTGGCCTCTCCGGATAAGAGAGAAGGAATTCTCTAAACTCAGACACACCAATTTACTTTGGACATTGATTATATCTGCAAATTTCATAGAGTACGAATTTGTACATACAGGAAAACATCTCCAGTTATAAAAATGCAGCACACTTCCAACTAGGATTTTGGTCATTGCTCAGTTTGAATGAAGTTCTTTCAGTAATCCTAATCATATGGCAAGGTCAGAAAAACTCACTCCTTGAGAGCAAAAATTCTTAGAATGTGATCAAAATATAGCAATGCAAGACTCAGTGGACTTCAAGAGCTACCATTTGTATGTATATCTCATAGTCACAGCCTACACCATCTGTCAAAGAAATACAGTCGTCTCGTTATAAGGAGTAACTTGAACATTGTGCGTTAAGAAAATAGTCCCTACCATTGTGATAGGCTATCTTCTAATGAAACTAATGCATTGTTGTAAACTGAATTCTAAAGAATGAACGAAACTTTATTGTTGAGCAGTGAATGATTGCTGTTACGAGACATATGTTTTAGAAATTTCTGTGTGTGGCTATTGCTCCACCAGGTTACTCCTTAAAGTGTGACAAGTACTTCAGTTGCAGGAAGCTGTTAATGGCTCCACAATCTACCCTTTACGCAATCAGAAAATGAGAAAGTGTCCAGAGAGTGTGGGCAAATAGTATCTAGATGCACATGGATCACGTCACATGGGATGTGGTAAAATAAAGACACTAAAGTGGATTTAATATTTTTTTTATTTTAATATTTAGAAAACTTAAGCCTGCAAGATGCATGCACCCCCGGCCGCCCTGATCTTATCCTCAGCAGACTTGGAGAAGAACTTTGCCTTAACAATTACGGGCTGTTTGGGTAGGTTGCCCTTACCAAGGACCTTGTAGTACCCCTGAAAATAGAAAAAAGAACAAATTGAAGTGATGACAAATATGACTTAATGAATTAATTTGAAAATGCTCCAAATCAGAAAGTCAAATCATCAAATTATTCAGTCCGCCTGTCGCTAAACTGGTATATTTCATCACATGGAGCGAAATTAACACAGGGTGAGAAATGCATGGAATGTGCCAATATGTGTAGCACTGATTCAGATAAGCTGATCATCAACAATGGTTCAGTCCGCCTGTCGCTAAACAATATTTTTATCATCATAATCTCATGCATAAGTGACTCAGTCAGATAAAGGTAACATCAAATAAATCAGTCCGCCTGTCGCTAAACTGGATTGAATCATCACTTGAGTCGGGGTAACACAGCTACCTCTTCCCAAAATTAAGAATCATGAAGGACTTACAGCACGGACAACATCGATGACAGGAGCCTTCTCTGTGGTCTTCTGGGCCTTGACCTTGGTCTGTTCACTGACAAGAGACCATAATTTGTCAAGGTTGATGGTGGGGCACCACTTGGTATTTCTTCTCAGGTGGAAGTTGCGCATACCAAGCTGGAAGCAAAATACACATTTTCTATTACATTGAGTTCGGAAGAATACACAACAGATAATCAAAGATGAGAGAAAGAAAACATATCTACCTTTCCGAAGTAACCAGGGTGGTACTTGTCCATGTTAATTCTGTGGTGGTGGGCGCCACCAGCGTTACCACGACCTCCAGGGTGCTTGCGGTGTTTACCTAGAAGAAACAAACTAGATTGACAACACTCTCCAGACGAAATAACACCATTGAGACAATATGAAAGACATTCCCCTCAGATAATACATGCATTAGATTATCATGTGTAATGTCACCAAGAAGAGATCATCATAGGGGAAGTTAGGAGTTAGCATCAACGAAGTGGAATGTGAAATCCAAACTCACCGATACGTCCATGACCGTGGGAAACGTGACCCCTCAACTTCCTGGTCTTCTTTTTGTTGGTACTCTGAAACAGGAAATATTCCACAGTTAGATGTGCCAAGTAGTACACAAACCGATAGGTTAGGTTCACGGACGCTTCAAGCTTAGTTCCAACAGCTGATGATGCCAATGATTTTAGGGTGGCTCGTAAGAAACACTAGTTTATAGGTAGAGGAAACCGTCAGAATGCAAAGCATCAAAAGTAGAAATATTAAGGTACGAGACATCCGAACCGGTCATGTGTATGGGCACATGTTGAGTTCGTACAACAAATCCACTACAAGACACGAACTTGATTGAAAATAGCGATATGGTAGGATGCGAAACAACCACAGTTGCTGACTCGGAAATAATGGAAACATTAAGAATCCGAGAAGAAAATGTACAACTAGTTCGTCAGTTTATAACTTGACTTAACGAAACTGCCGTATGACAACACAGCAACCAGGAATGGTGATTGCAAATTACACACAGGGGAAGACACCGGAATTATTACAAAATTTTAAAATTCGAATTTAAGATAATAGGGAGAGACCATTTTAACGGCAAGATATACAGAGATGGATGTTAATTTCTTGGATTATTTAGGGCTGGGAGAACACGCCACCAACTCACCATTTTGCTTGCTGAGGAGAGAAGAGCTCACTGGACAAGTGCCGAACGGATTTTTGCCGGTTCCGCACTGGCAGCCACTACTACAACAAAAAAATAATTTGTCATCAACGAACAAAGTTTAAGGGGACATTTGATAAAGCGATAATAAATGCACAAAATAAAAAAATATTTTATAATTCATAAAATTGATTGTATTTTACTCGGTGCAAAGATTAAAATGTATTATGACAGAGCGGAAGTGACAGTGTGGAGCAGTGTTGCCTTCTTGTAGCCCGCGCGTTCAGTTTGAACTGCATTGCCGGGCGTGTGGCTCCGGAGCACAAGAGCCACATTTCTCAATCAAGGGAGCTCCGACCCGATCTCCATTCTGAGTTTACTGGTTTCGTCTCTCTGTTCCAAATAAAGGTAGTACTTGAAAACTCCCTGTTTAAAATTTATTACCGTGTTCACTGTTCACTTGTTCCAAGAAAGAGAGGGGGTAGGTGCCTATCTACCAGAAACCACCCATGGGTCTTGGTGTAATTCCTGTATGGACATGTTTGAAGGGAATATTTTTCTATATCTCAACTTTTGGGCTTGATGGAAGTCCAGACACCAACCACTGGGAAACAGAGGGGGTGGGGTGGGGGTATCATCTCCCCGGGGAGCACTATAGGGCGTACCGCGCGCCTATCTCCACAGTTGAGGGGCGTAACATCGTGTCGGGCTCAGTTTACTCGTTTACTGTAAGGCCGCCGCCACGCAGCACACCACCATCACAACATGCAGTCATGGGCGCTTATTCTCCTCTTCGCCACTGCGACAATAAGTTTGTACCATAGTAATTTTTCTGTCGCCCCGATCCCCATAAGGCCTGCGGGGACTTTCGAATCGACGTCGTTTTACAGGTGCTGCGAATTGCCCGTCCGGTACTACAGTGGCGAGGAATGGGAAAGCGAGGCTTCACACAGACCTTCTCTGTGGATACGATACCAAAATCCAGCCGGAAAGGACAATGAACATCTCCATGGACATGTACGTCCGAAGTGCTACTGTGGTGCGTGCCCCCCCCCCCCTTTCCTGCAAAATTATCCCCCGGTCCCTCTTCTCCCTCTTTCCTTAAGTTTTTTTTTTATTTGATACTATGTGTTTTAAGAAATACGATTGTTCAGGGTGGGCGTCCAGCCCCGCCAGAGCAAATGGGTCTACACCCTTTGCAAAGTGCGGGCGCGGGGCGGGTTTGCTAATCGGGTTGACGGCCCCAACCGCGCAGGCAACCCTCCCGCACAGCTGCATGCGGGCTGGTAAACCCATTCGCTCCGACGGCGCTGGACGCCCACCCCGTGCGTACAGTAAGAGAAAACGTTTTTCTAACCAGGTTCACCGTACTCTTGAAATGAAAGTGTTGTTGCACTTGGTAAGCGCATCGCGTTTTCATTGCACGGACACGTCTAACGTCTTCAGCGCCGGGTTTACCCAACCACACTTATTTTATTTTGCCAGAGGTGGAAAGACAAATTTCTCGCGTGGGACCCATTGGCGTACGATGGCATCAAGGAAATTCAGCTCAATTCTGATAAAATATGGACTCCAGCGCTGGCCGTCATCTCCACGTAAGTCTGCCGTGTGGCATTCCCCCGGAGCTTTCACCTCGCCTTCTTGCGTTACTCGCTCACATACCCTGCTGCAACAGTCTCCCGTGGATAAGGGAGGACGGCGAGGCCCAGAAGGAACTGTGGCCCGCGGTGTGTCGGGTCTCGTCCGACGGCCTCGTTGTGTGCAGCGGCGCCCCGGACGTCGGCGGCACCTGCGCCGTCTCGTTTGTCCACTGGCCGCACGTCCAGGCCTTGTGCGCCACCTTCATCGGCTCCGACGCCCGCACCATCAAGAACATCATGCTAAACTACAATGGTTTGTCGAAGGTGGGCGCATAGTGGCTTGAGTTGGCAATCGAAGGCAAATTATGAGACGAAATACCTCTCGCAACAAAGTTTTACATACAGAAAGAAAACCAATTTTTTTTGCAGAATGAGCTAAGTATGTATGTGCCAGGCAACGACTGGGTGATCACGAGTTGTGACCGAGAACTGTATTACGAAGAAGATTCAGCAAATTTTCTCTATAGGGTTGCCCTCCACTCTCGAGGGACTGTGCTTGTAACAGGTCTTTTAGGCCCAGCAATAGGTCCGTGTTATTTTTTCAGAAATATTTTCTAATGTTTAGAGTTAATTATTGAAAACTTTTCATTCCCCATCTCGACCAGCTTTGAGTTTTGTACTGCTTGGGACCTTTATGCTGCCACCCACCAGCTATGTAAGGCTTGGATTGTGTTGCTGTGGCATTTTTGGCACAGTACTGGCATCAACCTTGTTATTTGAATCTCTACCGGAGTATGATGGGCCAGATCCTGTCCTGGGTAAGTTATGCTCAGCCCTTGTAAACATCTAATCAAATGTATATAAGGTAACATGATTTATTTTTTCCCCTACCCAGCAAAATTTTATTCAGGTTTGCTGCTATTATCTGCCACTGCCACAATTATGACACTACTTCTTAACATTGTGGTTCCACTCAAAAGCAAACCACCAGTTGCACCTCGTTGGCTGTACTCTTTCCAAACATGGCTAATGAGATCCGTAACTGGCAAAATATGGCTAAAAATATTATTTATGGTTCCACTACAAATGGTAAGCTATTTTTAAAAACTGTACTGTGAGCAAAACAAAATGAAGTTTTGAGAAGTGGAAGTATTGATTCTCCAGAATTTTTGTCACGAAATTGAGCTGATGCCTACATTGCACATGCAGACAGACAACTTGGCTGACCGAGTCAACAACGGACTAGACAATCAAGAAAATCTTCAGCAGTCTGATGATAGTTCACAGCTTCATGAAAAACCAGCTCCCCTAAACTTAGGTCCACAAAGAATTTGGGAGTTCTTTGCATCTTTCACAAATCGATGTATGTTCTTAATCTATCTCTTATCATGCCTGACACTTTGTTTGCACCTTGGCTACAGCTTGGCAGTTTATTGGGACATAGATATGGAAGAATTTTGGTAAAATCGACAAAATTAATTTGAAAATAATAATTAATATTCTGAAATTCTCCACTTACATTGTCAGTTAATTACCATCAGCCTTATGTAAAAAAGATAAGACATATTTTGTAGATAGAAATAATAAAAGCTATCATGAGAACAAATATAATAATTACAAGTAATAAGATAAGAAACAATAGCCATTAAAATACAAACTACTGAACAGGAAATAATTGTGTTCCCTGAACCTCCCTATGATACAACCTCAAAATATGTACACAAGCCAGCTTCCAATTTTCTCTCTGATAGGCAAGACTTCAATTCCAAAAGAATTACAGATGGTTGCATTACTGCTCCACAAGACCCAAAGTAAGAAGATCTCAAGGGATGTTCTTTTCAGAAAAGATTCAAGTCTAAAATTAGCTCATCAATGAACTTTTTAACTTACGATACTTTGGTTATAAGTTATCTACAATATCACACATTAGTCTATCAAGAGGATTGACTGCTTCAGAGTCTCTCTTGGTTTCATCTGATGTATCCATGTCCTCAAAAGCTTCAGTTGGCACTAGAAGTTTGGAATCAGTCTCAGAGGAATCAGGCAGATTGTGCAATGCCTGCTGCAGTAGTTCATGAACCTGAAAATGAAAAGAAGATACCTTAGTTGGTAAGAAGTACACACTGCATGTTTGAAATTAAGAATGCAGAAAACCAATCACAGTAACTAGCCGTCAGATATACCTTGTCCAAGTGCTTCTGGAAGCGGGTTGCAGTTTCAATTCTCTGCCGTTTTTGAAGTTCCATCATAACTCTTAGTGTTTCTCTAGCCTGAAATGAAATAAATATATAATTTAAATAACTGAAGACAGCTAAGCACAACCAATGAGCTTAACTACAATTCTTACCTGATGCGGTCGGAATTCATTTAATAAATGATGAATGTGAATGAAGAGCAAATTAAGATCTTCAACTTTTTCAGCACGCCGAGGAGAGTCTGGGCACATGACAAGCAGGTCCAGCAGATCCAGAAAGTTAACAAGGAGCGAGTGATTTAGCTTTCGTAACTCTCTCCGCCGATCAAAGTGTTGAGGATACAACCGTTTAAAGCCCTAAAAGAAGAAATAGGAGGATTAAACACCGATTCTTGATGGGGAGAATGAATGAAAAGTAATGAATGGTAGCTAGATTTAGAAAATACCACAGCTTCTGATAGAAAAATACAGAATAAATGAAAATCACAACTCTTACCTGGGACTCGAGCGGGCGAATAATTAAGTCATCGGCATTGAAAGCGTTTCCAAACATAGAATAATTGTCCTGAATTGGAGGCGGCGGTCGTAGATTTCGATTTCGACGAATATTATCTTCCGAGTACAACTGAATGTACTGCATCGGTGGAAGGGGTAGAGAGCTCACTTGGCTTGCTTCTGGAGCTGCCATTTCGAAAACTTTCAAGAATTCTGGTAGATAATCTTAAAACGTCAAGTGCCTTAACCTATAAAATCTGGTACAGCCGGGAAAATACAATCTGTTCAACGACTAAAAATGAAAGTCTTCAGCAAGCCAACAAGGTCAAGTGATTTCTACACCAGAGAAATACGAGGACTAAGTCAAACTTATCCATATTTACAATGTTTACAAGATATTTGTATCGATAGTAAACACGACAGTACTTTGTTTACTGCAATTCGCCATTGTGGTAAAGAGTACTACGTGAGACAGCTTTCTATTACATTGTAGAGTCATGACGCTGTCTACTCCATTTACTCAGAAGTTTGATTGATTTTCAAAACTAAACTAATATTTATGTTTGGTTGGATTATTCTTAGTTCGTTTCCGACTAACCCATTTGTAAAAGAATGGAGTATCTGCCACTAGCGTAGTAGCCGCAAATACCATCGTTTCCGCCTTTCGTTGTTGACATTTCACCCGTGCCGTTTCCAATGTATTTATTTACTTGGTGAATCAGGAACAATGGTCTGGTTGGTTATGTTTTGCACCAGCGCCTCTTTATTTTATTCATTTCTCTGAAATTTTTTACCCGTTGGATGTGTGTGAAATTGTCAAATTATTTTATTTACGAATGTTTAATGGACATGATCGTGTGAAAAGTGAACAGTTGGGACTAACCTTTAGGCCATCACAACCATATGATTGTGTTTTTCCCGGCTTGTGTCCTTAAAATTTAAGTGAATGTGATTAGTGTTTCATAATGAATGTCAAGGTGATGTGAATGAACATCCATCACCGCTATAGAGCATTTTGTGTGGTGAAGTCAGTGTATGTGACCCTAAACAAGCAACAACTGCTTATTGAAGTTACGTAGTGAGGACTGGCATTTAAGACATTTCCAGAAAGTTATGGCTGGTAAGGATGGAGGAGAGGAAATTATCAAACAAGGCTTCATGATCAAACGTTCCCAAAATAAGAAGAGGTTCTCTCCAATCAATTACAAGCAGCGCTGGTTTGTGTTGACTTGTCGCCATCTGATCTACTATGACAGCGAAGGAGAGGTGAGTGGCTTAAGGTGTTTATGGTGATGGCAGTAAATATTATCTCTCTGCGACTGGTCTTTCCTATATTACGAACTACTCCCTCAAATATATTGTTTGTTTGAAGTATCATTCCACACTATGTTCAGCAACCGATCTAAATCTTTACTTGGTGTTGGTGTTGGTTCAAATGTCACTGTTCATTCTCATTCCCTCTAGCAGAACTTTTTTCCATTGTTTATGTGAAAGTTGATGACTGCATGTTGGCATGTTTGAATGATTTAGTTCTTTTTTTGATGCACAGATAGATCTGGATGGTGTGTCAGGGCTACAACACAACAGTGTTGCGGGTTTGCATACCTCAGGGGCCATGGCCGGGTGGAGCAAGCAAGCCGCATGCTGTTGTGTTGTGGCCGTGACACACGGTATGTGGTATTTTAATTGCTTTCAAGTTTTGTGTTGGGTGAAGCTGTGGCTTTCTTGAAACTCAAAGTAGCTTCACAGCCTTGTCCTTGCAAAATTAATTGCATTCAATACACATTTGCCAGAGTTCTAAAAGTTGTGTGTGACTGCTTGTTGGACAATTTGACCCTGCATGTAGTTGCTTTTCCATTAATGCTGGACTGTGATGATGAGATATCTTTGCCGTTTTCATTGCCTTGAATGTACGTGTGTGTGGTGTGCCATTGACAGGAGCTTTTGTAGAGACAGCCCCAACACATTTTTATGTTACATGAAACACTTCAAAACATATTCTTGCCAAGCAGGTAGTCTGTCTTAAGGTAATTTACCATATCTTTCTAAATTTTTTTGAAGAATGGCGTTTTTGAAGTATTTTCCACAGCATGCTATTCACTTTTTGACATATTTTGCTAAATAGTACCTTACATATATGTTGTTGTTTTTTGTGGTGTCTCTGACCCTTGCATTTTATTTGTTGCAATTAATTTCTGCTTTATAAATATTTTTTCTTGTTTCTCAAAGAAAACAATTTGTTTCATGTATATAATATTTTGTTTATGGGCAGGATCAACATGGTTGGAATAAAAAGATCTCTGAAATAAAATCAACTATTTTAGTATCAACTGATTTTATCTTCATCATGGAGTTCTGTTTGTTTGCCTAATAGATCTGAAGTAAATGATAATGAACATAAATATCAACCAGTTTGAGACATTAGCAGTGTTCTTCATTTCTTTCATGAATTACTTTTGCCTTGTTTCTCCACTTTTAATTACCCTAAAAAAAACTTTTTAGGAACTTCTTATGTCTTGAGATCTATCAGGTAAACAAATTGCACTTAACCCTTTCCAGAGCTACACCTGTTACCTAAAACAAAGAAAGTCAAGCAATTTAGTGAAAGAATAACAATGTGCACGTCACACACAGTACATAAAACAGTCTTCTGGAGCAGGGCAATGTCGGTGGAAAGAAAGGATATGGCCTGTTTAGGCTTGCTCCCATTGCATTAATGTACGGCGGTGTAAGAGATTTTTTTTTTATGTTTGCCTTTTTTTTCTTTTCAGTGGATGGTCTTTTGATGAACAACCTGTTACGATTGTGAGATTTTTTGTTGTTGAGAATAGTGATAAACTGTGAAAGGGGTAAAGGAGGATGAAACGATAATAAGGAAAGGGCTGGGGGTCTGCTTAGATTTCAGCGCACGTATGCATGCATTCATGGTGACATGGTGACGGATCGAGGCCCACCTCCTATCCCGCTCAGATAATCCCCGCCCCTCTAGTTCATAAGGTCCACTAGGGTCCATCAGGACGTGCGGGTCCTCAAGGTCTTGAGCTGTCGAGCTCGCCGAGCAAGGAGAGCCGAGCAGCGATTGTGTCTGTCGCTGCTGCTACCGCTGATAACTGCAAGGAAAGGGGAAAGCCGACCGGAAAGCGAAAAATACGTCGCGTGAGTAAGAGTACGATAGACAGAGAATGGAAAAGAACGAACGATATCCTATGTTGGAGCACCGAAACGGATCGTCGCTGCTGATGGCTCTTCAACCGCCTCGGAGGCATACCCCGCGATGAGCGGCTTGCCTGAAGGGGGTATCCACGGCTGCCAGCCGGTCATGGGTGGGGTCGTCGGACCCGTGCCCGACGCAAAAACTGTTTGAAATAAATGACTTAGCGCTCGTTCAGCGCAGAGCGGGTGGGGAGGTATTTCCCCCTCAGACGCCGAGTGTCGGACCATTTGACTGAAATTAGCCATAAGGAAGCTGCCTCCCCCCCTTTTCCCTTTCGCCCAACCCCCAACCCCCTTATTCGCTTGCTGGGGTCCCGCTCGGCGCCCCAATTTGCGGTCCTTGTTCGTCGCCTTTAATTGTTTTGCGAATGAATGTCCCCCGTATCTCGTATTCACCTCGAGGTCCCCGAGGTCCTCGAGTCCTCCCTCCTTCTCTTCTGTTCCTCTTCTCCCCCACCATACCTGCTGTTAATTTACGCCACTCACCCCAACGTTATATTAACGCGGAAGAGGAAATATACCGCATCAAAATAAGCACCACGAAAAATGTAACTGTATACTTAAAGTGTACAAAAAGTGCCAGCAAAGTGGGGTCGTGCCAATCTGCTATACTTTAAGTATACTTTATGCATACCCTTTACAAAAGTGCACACAAAAGTGTCATTTCTACTTATTTCCATGCGGGATGCGGTCACGTCGGTAACAGATTTTCATTTCTTTCGTGCTTTTTTGCCCAACTACCCCTTTTTTCTTCATTCACAACCTCTCTCTGACGAACTTCTGTTCTGCACCCCTTGGATATGATTTTCCAGTCGAGTCATCGGCCTTCCTGCCGCTTCCTGCTAAGCGCGCGGCCGCCGCAGGACGACGGGAGGCGAACGAAACCGGGCAAAGGTGCACGCCGTGAAAATCTTTCTTTCACCTTTCTCAAATAAGCCAGCGTGCGAAGCGAAACTGCCGAAAAAACTCTTTCCCGAACCCTTCTCAAAGCCCATCACGCGGCCCGGCTTGGCCCACCTGGACCCGAGCCGTTCCCTACCAAAGTGTGCGCCCCGATGAACTTGTGCGAATGATCTCAGCGCCTCCCCGCCCCGCCGCGCCTGCCTCTATGCAGATGTTGCCCCCAGTTTAATAATTCCTCGGCCCCATCTTCTCAAGTGGTTTTGCCACGGAGATGGCAGAAGAGCCATCACTTCGGCACCGAGGCGGCGGCGGTCGGGCGGGGGACGGTGGAGGGCGCGAGGTGGGGAGGGGTAGGTCGGGAGGTGGGGCG